AAACACAGTTTGATCTCCCTCTAAAGTTTCTCTATTGGGTTTAGGTCTGGAGACTGGCTAGGCCATGCCAGAACCTTTATATGCTTCTTCTAGAGCCACTCCTTGGTTATCCTGTCCATGTGATTCGGGTCAGACCCAGCCTCGACCCATCTTCAATGGTCCACTTGGACACTCAAATAAAGTTTGGACCTGTAGGATCATTTCTGCTATTTTCTTGATGATAAGAACTCTTTACTATATGTGCTTAAACAACCAGCCAAGGCCTTGTAAACTACCAGGATTCTGAGCAGAGGGAAAGTAAAAAAACAATGGATTCAAGATTGACAAAAGATATGGAAGAACTCAAGTTGTCATTGAATGTCATGTCAGAAGAACTGAGCAAGGTGGTAAAGCAACAAACAAGCCTGATGCGCTTGATTGGAGAAATTCAACAATTGAAGGCAATCATCAAAGAAAAGGATGAGAAGATAGAAGACTTGGAAAAAAGAGTGGAGGACTTGGAACAGGCTACAAGAAAGGAGGATGTGGTGATATCTGGCCTTAAAACAACACACCGTTCATATGCAAGGATGACAGCAGAAGATAATAAACGGGAAGATGCACCACCAGATGAACTAGTTTCTCTTGAGCAGCAAGTTGTCAAATTTTTCAGTAGCAAAGGGATTTTGCTGGATAGTGAATCCATTGCTGCTTGTTATGCAATGCCTCAAAAACCAAATGTAAATTTGGATAAAAGGAAGAAAGGACCCAATATCATCCTTCGATTTGTGAGTACAAAACACAAAATTGAACTGTTAAAAGTTTTAAAAAGACTAAAGGGAACAAATGTGATTGTGAATAAACACCTCACAAAGAAGAATGCAGAGATTGCTTACCGTGCCAGGAAACTGAAGAAGGAGAAAAAAATACAGGCTACATGGACTAGGAATTGTAAGACATTGATAAAACTTAATGAATCTCCTGAGCAAACCAAGGTTTTAACCATCAAAAATGTTGCAGAGCTGGAGAAATATAGATGAATGGAACATTGATTTGCTACTGTTGAGGTTATAGTTCCTTATGCTTTGGTCATTTTTCTGTTGTTGTTTGTTTGTTTTCTGCATTTTAGCTTTTTTGTTTGGTGTGTTGAACATACTGATGGAAGTCAAGAATATATTTGGTCATGAGCAAAAAAAAACCAACAGAATTTAAGTATGTTGATCTTACAGATCATAAATTTTATGATATAGAAACTAATATCGACCCAAAGACCAACTCCAGTTATAATATTATACAGCATTGTGAATATTATTTGGAAGATAAAATTAATGTGAGGTCAGGGGACTTTTCAATAATTCATTTTAATAGTAGGAGTATGCACAGTAACTTTTTTCAGATAAAAAGCTACCTTGGAAAATTTGATGAGAAATTTATTGTGGTAGCAATCTCAGAAACGTGGATTACTGAGGGAAATAATCTGCTGGATGGTCTAGATGGATATCAAATGTTAAGTCAGAATAGACTAAATAAAAGGGGAGGTGGTGTTGCACTATTTGTTAGGTCTGGATTGAGTTGTACGGTTATTGATAAAATTACATTTTCAGTTGATAATTTGATGGAATGCTTATCTGTTAAAATGAAGGGAAACGGACACTGGCGTGTGTTAATTAATTAATTAATTAATTAATTAATAAAGTTGTGTTTTCCTGGGTTAATCCATAGATGAGTTTAGTAAAAAAAATATCAGAGGTGTATAAAAGGCACAATGGAAAGTTTACTATTATTTGTGGAGACTTTAATATTGATTTGTTGAAATACAAAGAGCATACTAAAATGACAGAATTTTTAAACACAATGTTTGGGTTAGGTTTCTATCCACTAATTTCAAGACCTACACGAATAACTAAAGACAGTGCATCATTGATTGATAATATCTTTATAAATAAGTTTGATGTGAAAGTTAAAAGTGGATTGATGGTCACTGATATAACTGATCATTTGCCAGTATTCACGATGTTGGATATTGGTAAACAGTTTAAATTAAATATGCAAATTATTAACTCAGTTAGAGTCAAATCACCTGAAGCTGTGGAAGAAATGAAAGTAGCATTAATAAATTATAATTGGCAAAATGTTTATGTTGATGATGTTAATGAGTCATACAATACGTTTTTGGAAATATTTGTAGGAATATATAATTATTATTGTCCCCTTAAAGAATATAAACAATTGTCCAAAAATACATTGACTCCTTGGATGACAAAGAGTTTGGAGAAGGCATGCAAAAAGAAAAACAAGCTGTTTAAGGATTTCATTAAGTGCCCAACTCAGGAAAAAGAAGAAAAATATAAAACATATAAAAATAAGTTAACATCGGTGCCGAGAAAGCAAAAGCGGGATTATTATGATAGGTTACTGCAAACACATTGCAACGATATTAAGGGTATTTGGAATATAATTCATAGTCTTATTAAAAATAATAGGTATAGAGATCTCCATATATGTATTAATCATAACAATACTATAGTGGAAAAAACGGAGGATATTGTTGACGTTTTTAACAAGTACTGTATTAACATTGGTCCTAATTTAGTAAATAAATTGCCAAAGCCTAAAGATGGGAAGCATAATCATAATTTCAATAATATTAACACAATGTTTCTGGGAACAGTGAGTGAAAGTGAGGTAGTAGACGTAGTTAAAAAATTTTAAAATAAGAAATCCAAAGATTGCAATGATATTGATATGGCTATTGTAAAAGAGGTAATTCATTGTATTATTAAACCTCTTACTTATATTTGCAACAGATCGTTTGTAACTAGAACCTTTCCTGATAAAATGAAGATGGCAAAAGTTATGCCAGTCCATCAAAGTGGTGACAAGCAAATATTAACAAATTATAGGCCGATATCACTGCTACCACAATTTTCAAAAATTCTGGAAAAATTATTTATAAAAAAGCTGGACTCTTTTCTCAATAAAAATTATTTATTGAATGAGCACAAGTACAGCTTCAGGAACAACTGCTCCACAACTTTAGCTGTGATGGAGTTTGTGGAGCACTTTGCTGCAGCAGTTGACCAGAAACTTAATACCATAGGTGTGTTTATTGACTTATGTAAAACATTTGATACCATTGATCATGCACGACTATTGGGTAAATGTGAACTGTATGGCCTATGGGGGGTTACATACCAGTGGTTAAAAAGTTATCTAAGTAAAAGATTACAATATATACAAATCAATAACACAAAGTCACAAACAGGCATACAGTAGTAAAATTCCTAGACACAACTGTAAAGTTGTGTCCTAGGACCTAAATTATCTATACTTTATTTAAATGATATTTTTGCAGTATCCAGTAATTTAAAGTTTATAATGTTTGCTGATGATACAAATCTATTTTTTTCTGGGAAAAATTTGGATGAAATAATAAAAACAATAGAAAAAGAGTTAGCTGAGTTGAAAGCATGGTTTAATTATAATAAGTTGTCGTTAAATGAAGGAAAAACTAAATTTATGGTATTCTCTGGTAATCGGGTCTATAACGATGTAAAGTTATGTATAAATGGAGTTGAAATTGAAAGAGTTTATGAGACAAAATTTTTAGGGATTATTATAGAAAACAAACTTAGTTGGAAGCCTCACACAGAATATATTAGAAATAAAATTGCAAAAACTGTTGGAATATTATTTAAAATAAAAGATTTAATAAATATTAAAGGCCTCCATATTAGATATTCCTCTTTGGTTATGCCTTATTTGTCTTATTGTTCATAAGTATGGAGAAATGCGAATAAAACAATTATTGATAGGTTAGTTAAGTTGCAAAAAAAAGCTATAAGGCCTATTAATAAGGTGGGATACCGTGAACCAACTGGTAAACTCTTCATTCAAATCAAAACACTAAAATTCAAAGACATTGTTTATATAACAATATTGGAAATAATGCATAAAGCAGTGAACAAAAGTCTTCCTTCTGGTATTCAGAAATTATTTAAGTTAAGAGAGAATAAATATATAATTTGCGAGGTTTGTTTAAATTTCAATGTGCAAAAGAGAAGAGCCAGATAAAAAAAATAGTCTAGATGTGTTTCAGTTATTGTTGTGAAAATGTGGAATGAATTGAATGATGATTTAAAGTTACGTCCTTTCTTGGTGAATTTTAAAAGGGCTTTAAAATGTAAAATGATAAAACCCTATGTTATGTAGATTTGAATATTTTTATACACAGTAAAGAACCTGGTAGGTTGTAAAGGTTGTAAGTATAAAACAGGATAGGCAATAATAAGCTTTGTTTCAGCCTACCGGTATTCCTTTTTTTTGGGTAAATTGTTGGTTTTGTTATGTTTTGATATTGTTGTTTTGTTGTTTAATGTTGGATTATTTGCTAAAAAAAATAAAGTGAAAAGTGAAAGTCAGAATTCTAGCTGATACAGAGGTATTCAAATACTTTTTTTTACAGCTGTATCATACAAATAAATAGTTTTAAAAATTATATATTGGGATTTCTGGATATTCTTCTTTTAGATTATGAATCTAACTATTATGTGTGTAGTTATAATGATCCCTGTTCAATCTACTACAAAGTAGATGAGAACTTTTATATGTTCTCATTACATAAGTTTAAATTTCTTAACTTCTATACAGGCCTGACTATGTTTTGTTCCTTTTGAGATTTGGGTTACAGTATATAACAATATGGATTAAAGGGGAACACCGGATTTTTTACATTGGCCCCTTGATTTTACGCTATTACATCATGTTCTACTCACCCATATTAGTTTTGTGTCATTTGGAGCTGCTCTGAAGATATTCTGTTTGTAATCCAAGTAACGTCTTCCTATGGGCAACGAGTTGAAGGCAAAAACTAAACTGTTCATAATTTATTCTTTATGGTAAGTGTTGAAAACCGTCATGGTTGCCCCGGGGCTGTTGATTCAAGTGCAGGACACTTACTGTATGTCTAGGTCAATATTGTGATTTGAATATTTTAAATAAATCAGACATGAGAGCAAACATTTCACATTCAGTGTTATTTATTGGTTGCATATTTTTTATATTGACAGTACAGCTCATATCCTTTACTATAACACCAAACCCCACAGATAACAGCATTGTGTCATTACTGTAGTTAATTATCAAAGTAACAATTCAGTGTATTTTAGTTGCAGGGCAATCTCCTGGAGGATAATGAACCTAACTGTCTGGATGTTAGTTTTCGTCAAAAGGTTTGAGCGGATCATCCCACTTGTGGTGTTGTTGAACTCCCATCAGGCCTATCTCCAATCTACCTATAGAAACACTTCGGAAGACCCACAGATGGAGGTAATCATTATCATCTCCAACATAAACCTGCAGGAAAACAGAACAGTTTTTGTTCTTCATTAATCACTAACTGTAAGTACTTCAGAAAACATTAAATTAGAACAAAAGTGTTCCTTCTCTTACAATAATGGAAAAAGGTAATAACTGATTCTTACCTTGATTAAATAATGGTGAACAAGTATGTTCTTTACTCTGTAAAAGAGGGCTTCGTAATTCTCAAAAACGTTCCCCGCTTGATCCTCCACTTTGCTCTTCACCTGAATAATAATAATTAAAAAACTTAAACCTTGAACACCAAATGAAAGTTTTTAGGTAAAGTTTCAAAGAATGAACAAAGTGAATGAGTCCTACCACATCACAAAGCTCCTGAATATCACCGGTGGCATATTTTGTGTCTGACCATTTTCCAATAGGGACTTCCATTCTGATGTCCTCTGCGTTGTCTGAGAAAAAACAGCTTCGGTTTGACTGAAATTGTTGATACCAGTTGAGTTTTGAACATATTTATACTGCAAAGCCAGCAGGTTTCCTGAAGGGTGGTTCAGCTGTACAGTGGGAGGAGCTCCATGTGAAAAGTTCCAAATAATTCCAGCTTAATCATTTTGTAATTTGACTGTAAGGTGGAATTTAGATAGCTGTAAGATGCATGTTAATGAATAACAGAACCATGACAATACAAAAAATGTTTAGAGGCAAGAACTCATTAAAACAACACAAATAATAGTTAAACTGATCTATGTGTCCATACAAGAAAGATCAATTTATGAACCCTTTCTCTTGTCTAATCACTATATTTAATAAACCAGTTTTGTTTAAACGCTTTGAAATTCTACCTTATAGCTGCTACAGATCCACAGAAATGTCTGGTTTGACTTGATTGATGCTCAGTGTTGACAGATTACTTGTTAGTCCGCTTTTTTCTTTCACAAGCAACAAAACGTTTAACAGTTGACAGTGACTTCAATAGTTGTGTTGTTTTAACAAAAATTGTGGAGCAGAAACAAAGTCAAATCTATATGTCCTGTACATATTTTTATTTCAATCTGAAAAACTCACACAGAGAGAAAAGATAATTAGAAGAATTTATTGATAAGAAAGTATAGTCTTTGGCGCTCAGACCTCGGCAGGAACATTCATGCTGAATTATGCTTTAACATGCATGAGTAGATGAATGTGAATAGGGATGTTCCCCCCGGGCCTGAAACTGGTGGTGGTTTAATCCGAGCTGGTTGACAAGGTGATCTGCTGGGGTGAATTGTGGGACTAGAAGACTGAGGGAGCTGACGCCGGGGCTTCACTCAGACTCGGGATATAGAGGTCCTGCTCGGTGATGCAGGCACCGTGAAGTGTCCATGATGAGCAAGCATGAAGCGACAGTGGAGAGGAAAAACTCCCCTTTGGGAAGAAACCTCTGGCAGAACCGGGCTCAACATGGTGGTCTTCTGCCGGACCAATGCGATGAGGCGAGGGATGGTGACAACTGGGATTAATACTCTCTGATGAGGTTGAGGTGAAGTCGTGACATGGAGGACGATTCAGCTGCGATGGCGGAGAAGGGGATGGAGGTGGGTGAATTGTTGTCTGAATCGAAATCCGACATTGCGATTGCAGGATAGCGGCTGTGGTGAGATTTGAGGGAGTTTATAAAGTGGAAGCAGGACGCTGATTGGGCTTCGTGGTGGAGTAGTTCGAAGCTGATTGGCTCGCTTCAGAGACGGATCGGCTTCTGATTGATGGAGGTAAGTCAGAGTTTCTTCAATTGAACTTTCGCTAGAGCTTCATTTCAATCTGAAAAACTCACACAGAGAGAAAAGATAATTAGAAGAATTTATTGATAAGAAAGTATAGTCTTTGGCGCTCAGACCTCGGCAGGAACATTCATGCTGAATTATGCTTTAACATGCATGAGTAGATGAATGTGAATAGGGATGTTCCCCCAAAAAGCCGAGGTCGAGGCTGGAGAGTTCGTATGCTCGTAGGGCATACGCTAGGGACAGAATAAAGAATGCGTAATGAAATGCTGAGAAGGTTTGCGAACAACTTACCGAGCCAGGTTGTTGATGAGGATGGCGACCACGGTTGACGCCGAGAACTTACCGATGATGATGATCCCATGATGATGATGATGATTTACCCATGATGATGATGATGAACCCATGATGATGATCCCATGATGATGATGATGATGATCCCATGATGATGATGATCCCATGATGATGATGATGATGATCCCATGATGATGATGATCCCATGATGATGATGATGATGATCCCATGATGATGATGATCCCATGATGATGATGATCCCATGATGATGATCCCATGATGATGATCCCATGATGATGATCCCATGATGATGATGATCCCATGATGATGATGATCCCATGATGATGATGATCCCATCATAATGATGATGATGATGATGATCCCATGATGATGATGATGATGATGATGATCCCATGATGATGATGATGATCCCATGATGATGATGATGATGATGATGATCCCATGATGATGATGATGATCCCATGATGATGATGACGATGATGATCCCATGATGATGATGACGATGATGAACCCATGACGATGATGATCCCATGATGATGATGACGATGATGATGAATCCTGCGGATAATGATGATGAATCCTGCGGATAATGATGATGAATCCTGCGGAGGATGATGATGATGACGACGACGACGATGCATCCCATTATGATGATGATGATAATGAATCTTGCAGATGAGTCTGATAATGAATCTTGTGGATGAGTCCATATAGAACATATAACATGACGGGATACAGACATGACGAGACGCAGACATGGTGCATATTGATGCATTGGAAATGCAAGCAAAATGGCGTAAGGGATGCATGACGAGACACGACGAGACACAGATAGGGAGCATGTGATGCATTAGGGAATGAATCTTGCGGATGAGTCTGATAATGAATCTTGCAGATGAGTCTGATGATGAATCTTGCAGATGAGTCCATATAGAACATATAACATGACGGGATACAGACACATGACGAGACGCAGACATGGTGCATATTGATGCATTGGAAATGCAAGCAAAATGGCGTAAGGGATGCATAACGAGACACGACGAGACACAGATAGGGAGCATGTGATGCATAGGGAATGAAACTTGCGGATGAGTCTGATAATGAATCTTGCGGATGAGTCTGATAATGAATCTTGCGGATGAGTCCATATAGAACATATAACATGACGGGATACAGACATGACGAGACGCAGACATGGTGCATATTGATGCATTGGAAATGCAAGCAAAATGGCGTAAGGGATGCATGACGAGACACGACGAGACACAGATAGGGAGCATGTGATGCATTAGGGAATGAGTCTTGCGGATGAGTCTGATAATGAATCTTGCCGATGAGTCTGATAATGAATTTTGCGGATGAGTCTGATAATGAATCTTGCAGGTGAGTCTGATAATGAATCTTGCGGATGGTAACATACACTATATTGCCAAAAGTATTTGCTCACCTGCCTTGACTCACATATGAGCTTAAGTGACATCCCGTTCCTAATCCATAGGGTTCAATATGACGTCGGTCCACCCTTTGCAGCTAGAACAGCTTCAACTCTTCTGGGAAGGCTGTCCACAAGGTTTAGGAGTGTGTTTATGGGAATTTTTGACCATTCTTCCAGAAGCGCATTTGTGAGGTTGCACACTGATGTTGGACGAGAAGGCCTGGCTCTCAGTCTCCGCTCTAATTCATCCCAAAGGTGTTCTATCGGGTTGAGGTCAGGACTCTGTGCAGGCCAGTCAAGCTCATCCACACCAGACTCTGTCATCCATGTCTTTATGGACCTTGCTTTGTGCACTGGTGCACAGTCATGTTGGAAGAGGAAGGGGCCAGCTCCAAACTGTTCCCACAAAGTTGGGAGCATGGAATTGTCCAAAATGTCTTGGGATGCTGAAGCATTCAGAGTTCCTTTCACTGGAACTAAGGGGCCAAGCCCAGCTCCTGAAAAACAACCCCACACCATAATCCCCCCTCCAACAAACTTTACACTTGGCACAATGCAGTCAGACAAGTACCGTTCTCCTGGCAACCGCCAAACCCAGACCCGTCCATCAGATTGCCAGATGGAGAAGCGCGATTCGTCACTCCAGAGAACGCGTCTCCACTGCTCTAGAGTCCAGTGGCGGCGTGCTTTACACCACCGCATCCGACGCTTTGCATTGCACTTGGTGATGTATGGCTTGGATGCAGCTGCTCGACCATGGAAACCCATTCCATGAAGCTCTCTGCGCACTGTTCTTGAGCTAATCTGAAGGCCACATGAAGTTTGGAGGTCTGTAGTGATTGACTCTGCAGAAAGTTGGCGACCTCTTCGCACTATGCGCGTCAGCATCCGCTGACCCCGCTCCGTCAGTTTACGTGGCCTACCACTTCGTGGCTGAGTTGCTGTCGTTCCCAAACACTTCCATTTTCTTATAATACAGCTGACAGTTGACTGTGGAATATTTAGGAGCGAGGAAATTTCACGACTGGATTTGTTGCACAGGTGGCATCCTATCACAGTTCCACGCTGGAATTCACTGAGCTCCTGAGAGCGACCCATTCTTTCACAAATGTTTGTAAAAACAGTCTGCATGCCTAGGTGCTTGAATTTATACACCTGTGGCCATGGAAGTGATTGGAACACCTGATTCCAATAATTTGGATGGGTGAGCAAATACTTTTGGCAATATAGTGTATATGAAGAATTGATGCATTAGGGAATGCATGCTAAATGGTGTCAAGGATGCATGACGAGACACAGACCAGACGTGACGTGACACACAGAAGAATGCATATAAATGCCCGTCATAAAGGTGAGATTGCATGAATGCGAGCCAGAATGAAGATAGCATGAATAGCAAGGAGACAGCATGGAAGACTGCATGAAGCAGGGAATAATGAAGAAAACTGATAAGGAGTGGGAGTAGAAAATGAGTTAGAGGATGGTCGTGATTAGGTCAGAAAATTATGAAAATGAGTTGAACCACCACCAGTATTTGTAATAGAGTTACCTAGAGGCAGAGAGAGCACTAAGCTGAGAGAATTGGTGAGAGTTCTGGCGGATGAATGAGGTATAGGCTGGTAAACCATCGACCCAGAGCTGAGGGAAGCCTCAGAACCCCGCGAGTAGCTGCTATGCAGCTGCTCGGTCCAGAACGAATGCCCAGATTACCTACTAGAGGGAAGGCCATGTGGTTCTAAGAGTATCCTGAGGTGGTGAAGGAACCATGAGTGGACGTAGGGTAACGCTGGGCGAATAAAAGTGCTTGAATGCCTGAACATGACGCGCCGAGATGATGAAACGTTAGTGACTGCTGCCAGTGATGCTTCTGATGAAGGCATGAGAGACTGGGAGGAGGAGTGACTTATTAGTGGCTTCAACTACTACGAAGTTATCGCAGTGGGCGGACGCGATTCCTTCCCAAAGCCCCACGATGCAAGCTAGCTAGGGTTAGACCTCACACAAGCA